CCTCATACCCTGGTGACGTAAAGGACTGTTGAACTTCACACGCCTCATACCCTGGTGACGTAAAGGACTGTTGAACTTCACACGCCTCATACCCTGGTGACGTAAAGGACTGTTGAACTTCACACGCCTCATACCCAAGTGACGGAAATGACTGTTGAACTTTCACACGCCTCATACCCAAGTGACGGAAATGACTGTTGAACTTTCACACGCCTCATTCTCTAGTGACGTAAACGACTGTTGACCCACTTATTTAAAGCCTGCTCACTTACACATTTATACCCACATATTTAAAAAAAAATCTGAAGCTAAGTTTATTCTATGCTTCATGAGAAAGGGGTTATATTGTGTAAAAACTATTTGAAGAAGAACAATTTGTAGTAAGACAGTGAGCCACTAATTTTCTCCTACTCAATAACATGCAAAAATCAAAATAAGCATTGTGTCAGTACTTTTACGTACACATAAGAACATCAAAGATCTTAAAAACACCCATGCTTATGTGTGTGTTTGTGTGTTATAAACACTAAGCATTTCTCTCTTTCTGTTTATTAACTTTTTTTCATCAGAGACAAAGCCATATCGTTAGTTTTTGTATATTGCAGTTGATACACCCTATCTGATGATAATGAAGAAGACCCAGATTATTGACAGAAGTCTCACACCAGGTGACAAATCTTTGGGACAGTTTACCCCTGTTATTGGAATAGAAAATGGTTACGACTTTGATTTTGACAGAAAAGATGGAATCATCTACTGGGTTCAGCTGGAAGTGGATGATAAAGAAAATGTAAGGTTTTATATACACACTAGTATCAATAACATTTTAATAGATAATAAAGCGAACTTAGATAGGTAGTTTGCATGTTTACTGTCACTAAATATTTTTCTCTTTGTTTAGAAAAAAGAGAATATCAAATGCAAATAAAACTAGAACTGAAATTGAATAGTATTTTTAGCAAAAAAAAATAATGTTGCAAACCTTTGTTTATAGCATTTAAGATAATTATCAAGGATAAGTGAACTTTATGATTAATTTATAATATGTATGACCTATTTTAGTAAACATTTTAAATGGATAGTGTCAATCTTAAATTATATAACTTCATTTGTTGTATGTAATGCATAGGAACTATGATTTTTTTTCCTTTATTTGTTGTTCCTAATGTTTTAATGACTAAATAATGTTAGTCTTATAATCTTTATTATGTAGGGAACTGTGTACAAAGTTAATTTGAATGGTGGAAACTGGACCAAATTTCTGCCTGATGGAATTGTTGGAGCACCTTACACTTTAGCTTATGACTGGATTGGTCGGAACCTTTACATAGGGAACAGAAAATCTTCAAATATTGAAATTTTTAAAGTGAGTAGATTATAATTTGTCAAATTATTTTTGTTGTGTAGCTAAACCTAATACATAAAACAATGACTCTTCAAGTGCTATACATACCAATAACTTCCAGAAAAATTGCAGATAAATATTTTTTTCAAAAAAATGGAGTATGTTAATTGTAGTATTAATTTTAGGGCAAAAGCATATACTTGGCCAACACGTAATCAACTAAAGCTTACTTCTTGCAAAGCTACCATCATATACTTGTTTACAAAAAAAATTAAGTTTTTTTTTTATCTGTTTATGGGGTGTCTTGTCAGTTACTCAACCAAGAACTTGAACAACATTTTTGAGAGGAGTCAACCTTGTACAGGATTAGTTGGTTGTAAAATAGCTGAGAACAATCCACTTCTAATTAATTCTTACAACTTTGAAATTAAAAATTGTCAGAATTTTAATTTTGATTGGTCTTCTTTTTACAATCAACATTGAATAGAATAAATAGGATATTTAATGTTCTCTAAACATTTTATAAAATGAGTATGGTTTTATAAGTATGCTTCCCTCAAAAAAACCTCAAACAGCTAACAGTGATTTTAAAAAGGTTAATTGTTTTTGTAGTAAAGAGAATGTTATAAGATTAAAACAAGCAGCTAATGCAAAAATAAAAGAATGTAAAGAGCCAAACATTAGGGTGAAACTGATTATGCCTATGCCAAATTTTAAATTTTACAGTCTGATGGTGAAGAAAATTTCCGAACAGTAATTTTAACCAATGATGGAACAGAAAAAGGAGTTGCAAAGCCAAAATCTATGGCTCTTCATCCTGAAGAAGGGTAAGATTTATAGAAATGGTTTCAGCATTTAATTATTTCATCTGCAATTAATGTCTTCTGTCTTCTTCTTTTTCTTTTAAAGTCTTGTTATATCAATATACAAAAAGATTGGTAGAACTTATAGATGGTGCACTGGTGTCTGCTCTTTATAAATTCTAGGCACAGTATTTTGCATTAGACACTCTTTGCTATTCTTATCATATTTTATATAATGTTTGGATATATGCATTTTTGTGTATATCGTCAAAATTTACTGTGTCAGTTTGTGTTACTGTTGTAGTAATCCTAGGTAAATCTTTCCTAATTAATTGGCCTGGCATGGCCTTGTGGTTCTTTCTACATAATAAATCAACATAGTCGTTTAGAATTATTTTTAATAAAAATTTTAAGTAAGTATTCTCTACCTTCTGTAGCTAAGTACTTGTAAATTAGAAAGTGCTAGGCCTGGCATGGTCAGGTGGTTAGGGTGCACAACTCTCAACCTGCAGGTTGTGGGTTCAAATCCTCATCACAACGAACATGCTCGCTCTTTCAGCTGTGGGGGCATTACAATGTGATGGTTAATCCAACAATTTGTTGGTAAAAGTGTATCCCAAGTGTTGGCAGTGGGTGGTGTTGACTAGCTGCTTTCCCTCTAGCCTATCACTACTAAATTAGGGACAGCTAGTGCAGATAGCCCTTGTGTAGCTTTGCACAAAAATCCAAATTAAAACCAAAATCCTAATTAATGATTTCCTGTAACACAATATAATGAAACTCAATGGTAGCATGACAGCGTGTATCTATTCATGAATACAGTATTGGACAGGATGGAGAGGTGTCTGCTTAGAAATTGAGCATTGATATTTCAGGTGGTAAAGCACTAAATAATTAGAGTCAACTGATAGGGTTCCAGCCCATGTTGGTGTGTGTGTGTGTGTGTATATATATATATATATATATATATATA